GAGGATCGCTTGATATAACGCGATTATACGGCTTACTTCCCTTCAGCTCAGCCATGCCTTGCTTTTCTGCAGCAGAAGATTGCAACTGAATAAAATTTACCTGAAATCGTTCATGTCTCTATTTCGTGGGTAACGATCTGACCGATGATCTATTTTGTAAGCTACATGCGATTAACTGCACCCTGAGAATGAAACTTGTGTCCGGTCTGAGCAGCAACACTACAATCTAAAATCTTTCTTTAAAGCTATTTTTTTAAATTCAATATTTGTTTTTCGTATATATTTATACGTAGATAAAATATATCCACGGCAAATGGGGCGGGTTTTTTATTTTTCCTTAGTTATGTAATCACGTTATTCTACACTATGAGTCATTTAATAGAATCTGCTAAGTTTCCAGCGGGCTAGACACCCACCCAGGTAATAATTCTCTTTCGAGGTGAAACTAGTGTCATTATCGTATTTCTGAAACATCCCCAAAAGGGGAAGTGCCGAAGGGTTCTTAAGAAATCTTTGTGCTCAATCCGTGTACGCATGTCATTGCACCCACTCTTTAACTTGGCCATATGTGACAATCTTCTCGAGTGGGCGATCTGATAATCGCAGAGGCGAAGGTGGCAATGTATGGACTAAGTGAAGAATCAATTTATCCATACTTTTGCAACCCACGCATAGGCTTTACACGCATAGAAACATTTTTATGCCATGGTCTCTATAGTTACGTTTTGTTTTTGTTGTGTTTTCCTTTAGATTTCTGAATTCTCTTTTGTATTTGTCTATCATGTTGACGACGTATGTCATATAAGTATTTGGGATGTAACTAAAAATCTTAATGGTAATGGTAATATTAACCGTTTCCCTACAAAGGAACATTTGGTAATCAATGACCCAGCAGCAAGTACTGTTTTTGATTTAGATTTATAAAAAAAAATATTTTCTCTTAAAATAAAGCTTTTAGAAAAAGAAGTTTCTCAAGTCCAGTAGTTGTTATCGCCCCTTTCTGGGGTTAATGGTGATCCTTCTAAATCCTCTATTTGAAGTTGTGTGCAATATCAATATCTTGATTATATAATAATTTTCATGTTACATGTGCTATCCATTTTAGTTGTTGTTGCTGTTGGTAGTCCTTAAGTCATGTGGCTTCTGTTAAGCATCTTTACATCAAAAGAAATCAACTCACTATCAATAACATTCGATTGAACCTAAGCAGGCATTGGTTATAATGATTTTGAACTGTAATGCTATTTTGTCAATGCGATGCTAAAATCTATTTTACAGTCGTAGCATTTAAAGATGCATTTATTTAAAACATTTGACTGTTAATCATATAAACGTTATACTGGATTTCTTTTCTAATTTTACTTTATTTTCTTAAATCCAGCAACGGTGGTCGAAATTACTCGGAACATAATATATAAGTATCCTTTAAAAACTGACACTAAACTATTTATTCGAAAGACGAGGTTACCAAAAGATTTGTATGTTGATTTGTTTTTATTAAACCCGTTCTTCTCAAGCATAGAAATAAAGCCACTAAGACGTAGCGGCTTACTGAAAGTGAATGAAAATGAGAAAATTGAGGAGAGAGGACAATAAAACAACGGATTTCAAGTAGACATGGATGTAAAGGAAGCGGAAGTCGAGAAGACGAAAAATCCGAGAGAAGAAACCATTAAGGTAAGACATACGGTTACAACTAGCAATTTAAAAACTAGAATGATGAGATCAATCTATCAATCCACTATTATGCTTAAATTTGTGAAATCGAGGTACCAAAGAAAAAGCTCTTCAGAACAATTGCCATGCAAATATTTATGTAAAAGATATAGAAAATCTACGTTACAGCGATAGGAAAATGACTGAAGCTAAGATGGCAGGTCAGGACATATTGCAAATTCTGTAATACTCGCTGTCCGTTCAATTTAGTAAAAACAATTGCAATGATAATATTTGGTACCTCGACTTCAGTCAATTTCTCACCGACGTAACATGACTTCCCTGTCTTTTCTACAAATATTATCATGGCAATTGTTATGACTGCTTTCTTTCTTGCTGCCTCAACTGCATTAATTTTGGTGTGCTTCTAGATTGGCAAGTAGGTCTCACGATTTTTTTTGTGATGTCAATGAACACCCGTTGCCACTGTTGTAATACTCGTTGGCACTTTAATAATGCCCATTGTAGTAGAGACGTTGTAATCGCAGATTACAACTATAGAAATGCTGTTGAACAATACTGATGCCAGATGCCTTCGAATAACGCTCCCACTAATAGTACTTGCTCGATAATTCTCGCTAGGAAAGTAACCATCGAATAGTAATCAGTATAGAAAATAGCGAAGAGAAGAGAAATAGTGATTTGTATAATAATATAGAATAGAATAGAAATAGCGATCCGTCCCGTACAGTAATAGAGGATAGACTAGAAATAGCGATCAATTAGATGTCATGAAACCTCTTATGCGTTTCCTATACGGTCACGTGGTCTACTTAATTCAATAATGGAACCGCATGTGTTTTTTTCACTGGAGATCTATATTCAATGTCAAGTGTCAGCAGCGACACTTTATTCCTATATAACAATTTTACTTTTGAACTAATTAAATCCAACCG